AAATGGAGGGTGTTTGAAGCCTGGTGTCAGGGCAGGGAGGTCTCACCCTTCCAATGCCCGGTGAACGTCATTCTGTCTTTCCTGCAAGACTTGTTGGATGGGAAGAAGGCTTTCTCCACCATTAAAGTGTACCTAGCAGCCATTTCCGCCCGACACTTGGGTTTTGGGAAGAAACTGGCAGGTCAACACCCCCTGGTGTGTAGCTTCATGAGGGGCGCGCGCAGGCTTCTCCCTGTGTCTCGACCCCTGGTGCCCTCATGGGATCTGTCCTTGGTGCTGTCGGCCCTCTCCGGGCCTCCATTTGAACCTATGGACGGCCTGGACCTTAAGATCCTGTCTCTTAAGGTGGTGCTACTCCTGGCTTTGGTATCTGCAAAGCGAGTTAGTGACTTACAGGCTCTCTCTGTGCACCCATCCTGCACCCAGTTTGCACCCGGTGACATGAAGGTGTCCCTGAAGCCCAACCCTGCCTTTGTGCCTAAGGTGGTGGGCTCCTTTTCTCCTATTATCCTCACAGCTTTCTACCCGCCACCCTTCTCCTCTCCTGAGGAGGAGCGGTGGCACAAGCTGTGTCCGATTCGCGTGCTCAAGGAGTATGTGAATCGGACGGAGAACCTTCGCAGGGGGGACCAGCTTTTTGTGTCATGGGGTGGGCCTCGTAAGGGGAAACCCGTCACAAAGCAGAGGCTTTCCCACTGAATTGTGGAGGCTATTTCTATGGCTTACTCCTGTCAGGGCATTCAGGCTCCTGTTGGGCTCAGGGCCCATTCTACTAGGGGCCTGTCTGCTTCTTGGGCCCTTTTTCGGGGGCTGTCAATCCAGGAGATTTGTGCTGCAGCAAGTTGGGCTTCTCCACTTGCATTTGCACGCTTCTATCAGCTTGATGTTTCGGTCCCTGCAATGACTCACACGATTCTGAGTGTGGGGTCTTTGGCGGGCCAAGACGTATCCCTGTAGGTTGGTGATCGCTGGATAAGCTGTCTGGCAATACGGGAGTCTCCATATCCCATAGTGAGACATCGAAACGAATGTTAAGAAAGAGAACTTTAGGTTACTGTCGTAACCCCGGTTCTCTGAGTAACATGAGTGAGATGTCTCACCAGACAACCCTTCTTGCTGGGCGAAGCGAGAAGAGGTGTTTATCTTGAATAGTGCGTACGTTGGGACGCTTGCTACTTATAGTAGCAGGGGGACGCGTACGTCACGGTCACTGGCCAATCAGGATTGGCGTATTGAGATAAGTGCTTCTGAGGAATCCGCGGAGGGGCGTATCCCATAGTGAGACATCTCACTCATGTTACTCAGAGAACCGGGGTTACGACAGTAACCTAAAGTTTTTATTTGAAATAAACCTCAGAAGACACAAGTACTTCATGTTACTTTAGTTTTCTATTCCAGCCATATTAACTAAGACAAGTGTGTTATACAACTGTTATAGGGCCTAGCAGTTTATCATTGCTGAAACAGCTGCTGCTATTGCTGTCTGGCAGGCCAGGCTAAAAGACATGATTTTACACAGCACGCTGGCATTCTGACGCAGGAGTGAAGCACATCTCACCATGGTGTGTGGTTCCTCCTTCAATTCTTTTTTTCTAGGAGAACTCGTGAAAGGATTTCTGAAGGAGACCGCAGAGTTCCGAGCACCGATCGATCCGGTCTGGTCTACCCTGACCCGGTCCCTGAATGACGGCAGAATGATGCTTGTGGCGAGGCGAGTTAATGGAGTCTGGATCGGGGAGGGCAGCAACAGAGACCGGGTAGAAAACTCATCAGCAGGGATTTTCTTAAAGCATCTAAACTACAACGATAATGGACTTTATGAGTTTCCCGGACCTGCTGATAAGCTCATCCAACTGGATGTTTTCCCGGTTTTCAACAACGTTTCTGTGTCTGAGAGTGAGACTGCAAAGCTGCCGTGTTACTTTGTGACACAAGACCAGATTTAAGTTTCATAGTAAGTTAAGTCTCACAATGTTTCTCATGCCCTACAGAACAGCACTGGACCACAGTCAAACATGTGTTGAGATATCTCAAAGGCACACAAGATAAGCGGTTATGTTACCAGAAATGTGAAGGCGAAAAACTAGGACTACAAGCTTGACACAGATTGGGCTTCAGATGTTAAAGACCGCAAGAGTATGAAGGGATATTGCATCAGCCTATCAGAAAAGGACCACTCATATCCTGGAAAACCAAAAAGCAGTCTACAGTTGCTGTGAAGCAGAGTGCATGTCTCTAGCAGCCACCAATCAGGAATGTTTATACTTGATGCAGCTTCTTGAGCACATGGACAATTATGAATATGGACAAACAAAAATAAATGAGGACAACCAAAGTGCTAAAGCTTTATCTAAAAATCCTGTAAAACGACAGAGGTGTAAACATGTTGACATTAAATATCATTTCATAAGATCAACATTGAAAGAAGGAATAATGGATTTACCGACAGAAGACATGATTGCAGATGTAATGACCAAACCTACAACTGTGTGTAAACTGAACAAGTACAAACTGTTATTTGGAATATGAAGTTCAATAATTAATGGAAAATGCAAGCTACAGAGCAAGTGGGGGTGTTAAGTGTGGCAAGTAAGACATGGCGCTATAAATAATTTAATGATAAAAAGAGCTAAAACAACACCACCCTGGTTTCAGCTTCCCTCCAGGGAAAGGTAAAAGGCCCGTAGGTTAAAATGATCACTCTGTGCACAAATGGTAACATTCAAATACACACTTCTTTATTAAAAGTCTAGTCTAAAAACCATATTGGTGGAAGCCAAGGGCTCAGAGTTCGCTGGCGGTTGCCCCGGCAACCAGGACTCCAACACCCAACCACTAATTAACACCAGTCCTGTATGCAAAACAAATCCATATGGACAGAACAGCTGTGAGGAGACTTCTGGGCCCACAACTATGGCGCGGTATGGGGGCCAAAATTAAGCCTACTGCCCAGCAGCAGGAGGCTATATAAGTTCTGAAGCAAACTACCGACCTGATTAATGATAAGCTGGCGCCGGTAACTGAGAGGCTGGCGCTGCTTACTGAGGAGTAGCACCTTTACCGGCGATACTACTAGATACGCTAGGGACTAGCAGCCCTCGGCTGGTCATTGACTGGTTCACACACTCCCTCTGCTGTCTATTAGCATGGATAGGCTAGCGTTAGCCTGGACGGGCTGGTGCTAGCATTGGAGAGGCTAGCCATTAGCGTGCCTAGGCTGGCCACTAGCTGGATTTCCTACCTCCTCGATGGACCATTAGCATGGATAGGCTGGCGTTTGCATCGGAGAGGCTAGCCATTAGCATGTCTCGGAGAGTCACTTACTCTACTAGATGCATTTTTTTTACATTTGTTAAACGGATGACATACTATGACCTACAATCACAGTTGTTCCTTTGACAGAACGCGTTGTTATACACTTTAACTTTAAGCATACTGTAAAGCCGACAGCCTGTTAGCATTTATTAGGTGCTGCGTTAACTCCATTTTGCTCTTAATTACAGGTTGATGGTGTTTTCTTTTTATATAGTTTGGTTTTCTTGCACATATCAGAGAAAAAGCCAGAGCTAACTAGTTAGTACTTTTCATCTTTGGATTTTAAATCCTTTGTATTGAATTACAGGTTAATGATTATTTAAATTGTGATGTTATCTTTATTAAAACTATATAATATGTACAAAAAAACCACACATCTAATAGAGTAAGTGACTCTCCGAGACATGCTAATGGCTAGCCTCTCCGAAGCTAACGCCAGCCTATCCATGCTAAAGGCCCATCGAGGGGGTAGGAAATCCAGCTAGTGGCCAGCCTAGGCATGCTAATGGCTAGCCTCTCCGAAGCTAACGCCAGCCTATCCATGCTAAAGGTCCATCGAGGGGGTAAGAAATCCAGCTAGTGGCCAGCCTAGGCATGCTAATGGCTAGCCTCTCCAATGCTAGCACCAGCCCGTCCAGGCTAACGCTAGCCTATCCATGCTAATAGACAGCAGAGGGAGTGTTTGAACCAGTCAATGACCAGCCGAGGGCTGCTAGTCCCTAGCGTATCTAGTAGTAACGCCGGTAAAGGTGCTATTCCTCAGTCAGCAGCGCCAGCCTCTCAGTTACTGGCGCCAGCTTATCATTAATCAGATCGGTAGTTTGCTTCGGAATTTATATAGCCTCCTGCTGCTGGGCAGTAGCCTTAATTTTGACCCCCATACCGCGCCATACACAACCGGCACTGGAGATGAGATTGGTCGCGGCGGAATGGCAAGATGGAGCAGCAGGAGGGCCAGTGCACCACCGACGCCGTCAAACGCTCTGCTACTCTGGATGGCACCGCTGCAGGCGAAGCTGAAAGGAATAGCGGCTCTCGGCACACAGACAGGAAGTCACACTGCAAACAAACAAACTGCATGGTCCCCCTGGATCAGTACGACCCTCCCCAATCAGAGGCAAAAGACTTACAGTCGTAGCACGGCTGAGTCAAATCAGCCTCAATACGGCTGCCACACACACACGGGCCGAGATCTGGTTAGGAGTATCTGGGTGCAGTTTAACGCTGTAGCAGCAGATGCAGCTCCGGTCTGCGATCACATGGTACCAAACACGTTAAGATAGAGCAACAAGCATTAGCTAAGGCCACACAGGAGGGAGAGTACTTACAATCGCTGCTTGCAGTTGGGGTTTCTCATTACCCCAGCACCTGAAGTGCCATACCAAAGCTGTCCTGCTGAAAGAGCAGGCAGCTGCCTTTTATTAGATGACTCACCCCACCCTGCAATCACTCTAATGTGAGCCACCTGGCTCTTTACTGGGAGGGGACCAGATGAGATCTGTCTGTCCCATCACATAAGCATCAGTAAAATATGCCCTGTTGTATGTTGCATGTGTGTATGTATATATCTGTGAATAAGAATGAGTATAAATACGCTTTTATTGTGAAAAGGACAAAAGAGGAAGTAAAGATGACATCCTAATAAGATAACCAATGAAGGACATGTATGTTGACCTCTAACCTCATGATGCACCAATAAAACGGGAGCATTGGTGTCCGCAAAGTTGCTAGCGCCAGTGAAGCCCATTTAAACAAGAAGCTCTGTATCTATTGTTTATTTCCTACCTGTGAATCTGGGACTCCGCTTGGGATATTTGGACCGACCGCTGCGTACAACGACACTCTGCTAACAGGGGGCGTTCCTGTTTACAAACAAAATTGCCCCTTTTAGCCGTTTCCCGAATAGTTGGGAACGGAAGATAACTTCAGCCTCGTGGACAAGAGGAAGGAACTGAAAAAGAAGACCGTTAGCAACGTTAGTTTATTGTTGTTTAGCCTTGTGAGGTGAATATTAAACATGTATTCAGGAGAGTCTCTGATGGAGTTTGTCACCAAGCAAGTAGCTACTGCTAGAGAAAAAATAAAAAAGGTTGAAGAAGCCATGGCCCAGTTCGAGGAAGGGCTCGGTGGCCAGCGCAGACTGTCGGATATGAGCTGGAAACCACAGAGCAGCTCGCACACAGCAGGTAAGAAACACCAGCGGGTACTGAGGGGAAGAGCTTTAAGATTAGCATAAATTACGTGATTATTGTGGCAGAAAAGGACCAGTTTTAGCCATTTATGGTAAATAAAGGTGACGTAAAGGCCCTTGTGTGATGTGAAGTGTAGAACAAATTCTATAAAGAAATAAAGACTGATTCAATCTCCTAGAGTCAAAGTGGATGCTGAAGTGAAGTAGTCCAGTTTAGATATTTTGGAGTTAATTTAAATTCAGAAAATGACCCAGAATGATGCGATGTAGGCTACACAAAAGGGAAGAGAGGTGGAGCTGAGGGTGGGGCTGTAAGGCTGGGATCAAATTTCGAACTGAAGTTAATGTAGCTACAAGCTAACCCAAAGCTAACACGGAGGTGGGAGCTAAGCTAACGGAGGTAGCAACCTAGCTACAACCGGAGTTAACTGTGCACAACACCAGAGCTTCTGAGTCACACGCCAGACTGACAGCTGGGTAAAACCGGGTGAAACACAGATGTCGTTTATTTTATTTTTTAACAAGTTTTATTTAGCCAATGAAGCTTACAGGCTTGCATAAGAATCAATATTTATATTTGAATTCTGAGCATGACAAAAAAGCAGGTGTACAAAGAGAAACAGTAATATTAATTTAGCTCAATATCAACCTGCAGAAATCATAACAATTTTTTTTTTACATCAAACAACATTATTAGGTGTAAAGGAGACATTCACCAAATTGTTATAGAGCCAAATGGCTTTCTTGGAACTACATAATTTAAGAGAATCCATAAAGGATGCAAATTCTTTCAAAAAAACAAAGATCGGTTTGATATTGCCAAATTTACATTTGTGTATAAAGAATTTGGCGAAAATAATCAAATTATTGACAGTGAATTGCTGCATTTTATTTTCCAAACTAATACCATACTTGATGTCAGAAAAAGATAAGGAGCGTATAATGAAATTATTATGTGTTAACCACGAGTGAAAACTATCCCAGAAAATTTTGGTAAAGATGCATGTGAAAAATAAATGTGTCTCAGTTTCTATATTAGAAGTGCAAAAGACACAATTGTTCTCTCCAATATTAAATTTAGACTCCAAGAAATCTTTTCAAGGATAAATACTGTTTATAGTTTTAAAATGAACTTCCTTGGCTTTAGGAGGGATCGGGAATTTGAGATAGTTGCATCTAATGTTTTTAACATCAGAATTACTAAATTGATGTACTAATTCCCGTCTTCTAAGAGGTAAGGGAAAGAGGGTGACAGTGAGCCAACATCTAAGGATTTTATTATTGCAGTTCCTGTCCACAAAAGAACAGTTCTTAATTGTTAAAGGAGGTATTTTTAGAATAAGGTGAGAGTACAACAAAGTGCCTTTCAAATTAGAATATATAGCTGGTGGGATTGCATTGATTACCTCGGCATATTGCTGAGAAGAACAAGTTAGGTTAAATTTGTGATTGAAAACCGTAAAATAAAGAAATTCTCCATTCTGGTCCATCAAATGCAAAATGGACCATACTCCATGGAGATGCCAATCATTAAAAAAAAAGATTTCCTTTTAATCAGGATATAACGGTTGTTTCATATTGGCGTGTTGTGCGATGTGAAGTTATGTTTATACATTAATTTCCAATATTGTAGAACTTGCTCATGAAATTTGCATAACTTAATAGGGAGTTTGGATAATTCAAAGTCACATTGAAGAAGCAATTGGATTCTGCCTACACTGGAAAAAATTTTAGCAGGAAGAATAAACCACAATGTATTTATATGATTTATAAAATTTTGTAGCCATTTTAACTTAAGTGCACCATTCATTACATCGAAATCGATTGCATTGAGACCCCCTTCCTCTATTGATTTGATGTCATTCCTTATATAATGTCTGTTTTTCCACATGAAGTTAAAATTGTTTTGGTTAATTTCTTTAATAATATTTTGAGGAATTCTTAGAGAATAAGCCGGGTAGATAATTCTTGACAATCCTTCCATCTTGGATAGAAGTAATCTACCAAAAATGAGAAATCTCTTTGTAGCCATATGTTTAAAATACTTTTACTCTTTTTAATTAAGCTCTCAAAATTACATTTTACTCTCGTTTCTAAGTTGTTTTGAGATTGTAATCCCCAAATATTTGACTTGATCTTTAACAGGTATGCCATGCAGAGTTGTTTGAGAATGATCATGAATGGCCATTAATTCACATTTATCTATGTTTAAATAAAGGTCAGAAGCTTCTGAAAAACAATTAACTACTTGTAAAGCAATTGGTATCTGTTTCTTATTTTTAAGGAAGAACGTAGTATCGTCTGCCAGTTGAATTATAGCTAACGAATTACCAAAAACATCTAATTTCTCTGACTATCCTTAATCATAATGCTGAGAATTTCCACGACCATGATAAATAGAAGAGGGGAGGCTGGACACCCCTGTCGGATGCTTCTTTCAATGTTGAAACGTCTGCAGGTTCCAGATGGCAACAGTACAGTACTATTAATATCCGTGTATAAGGTTTGAACAATTTCACAGAACTTTGTTCCAAAGCCAAAATGGTGTAACGTGTCTAACATGAAGGAATGGTTGACTCGGTCAAAGGCTTTGCAGAAATCCAAAAAAAGAACAAAGCCATCCTCAAATGTGTCCCTGTAATCTAACAAATCTAGGACCAACCTAATGCTATGTATGGAGCGACCCCTGATAAACCCAGATTGGGAATCGCTGATGATTTGTAAAATACCTTCTTTGAACCTATTAGCCACAATATGAGCGAGTATTTTGTAGTCCACATTAAGGAGCGTAATTGGTCTTAGATTGCTTAGAATTATTTTTATCTTTGCCGTTCTTCGGAATCAAAGATGAGTCCTTGTTTCATAGTCGGCATCAAATAATTAGTTTGGATACATTCTTGTAATGCAAAAAAGAGAATATATTTTATATTATTCCAAAAATGTTTATAAAAGTCAGATGTTAGACCATCTTGACCAGGGGATTTCCCAGCGGACAGTTGTTTGACTGCTGCCTCTACTTCAAATATTTCAATCTCTGCATCACTTATCATTTTAAATTCCTGACTGATTTTTGGTATGAGATGTGTAATATTATCCAATAGGTTTGATTCATTGCCACCAGATGATGAATAGAGGTCTTTATAAAATGTATAAACTTCTTCAGCAATAATTTTGGTATCCGTGCATTCTACATCGTTGATAAGTGAATTAATTAAATTCCTCTCCTGTTATCTTTTTCAAGTCCACAGAGAAACACAGAGGTCTCCCGAGAGCTCCACAAGCCGGTGTCGGTACAGGATCTGCTCGGGTGCAAGATCGGCTCGGGGTCCTTGGCTGCTGATGACGTCAAAGTAGTTGATTGGCTGAACATGAACCTTACGGAAGTTATGTAATCACGTTACGTTGTTATCACGTTACGTTGGTCCAGGCTAATTTTTCTGTTGGAAAGATGGACAACTTTTACAAAGAAATCCATCATTACCTCTTTGAAAATACACTTTTAGCATAGAGCTGCATGTATATTAGGGCAGAACTAGGGCTGCTCAATTAATCGAATTTTAATCACAATTACGATCTGAGTTTTGAACGATTATACAAACAAAACAAGCCGATTATTTGCTCCTCCCACTTGCGCTGCCCTGAGTTCCAAATGAAGCGCTCCTCCACAGTGTTGCCAACTTAGCGACTTTGACGTTATTTCTAGCAGCTTTTCAGACCCCCTTCTTGACTTTTTAAATCTTAAAAGTACCTAGCGAACACCTGAGAATCATCTCTGGTAACCCTTAGCTACTTTCAGGATAACCGTCGTTGACATTTCCTGTAGGTTAGCTAAACACTCCGCCTGCGCTCCGGACCATTCTTCAGGACATTAGGAAGGGGAATGATGTAGTGATGTGTCGGTCGCTAAAGAAACGGCTAATGCTAATATCACTGATTACTTTTTTACAAATTATGAATTAGAAATGTGCCAAATGATTACATTTGGAGTCCGATAGAAAGTAAAACTACCATCAATCAAATAAGTACTGACAGACATTTTAGTAAAGCCAGAAAACTTTTAACTCCAGTTAAAAGTCGAGTTTTGGCTAGCAGCTATGAGCGTAACTGAACTATGCATGGACAAGATGTCAAAAACTCTAAACACAAAATACTTCAATAAACGTGACACACTTCTTTCCGGCAAGTACACTTTCACAGGTGTTGCTAGTACCTATGATTCTTCAAGGGATGTGCTCAAAGAGGAGTTCAACATTATGAATACAATATAGTGTTTTATTTTACAAATACCATTATAAACACAAACTTGCGTCGTAAGAAACATTATTTTAATAACGAAACTGCCAAATTCTTTCCAACAGTATAAAGATGTGTAGTGTATTTTGTCCGAGTGGGTTTGCCGTACTTTGACATCATCGGCAGTCGAAGGACCCCGAGCCGATCTTGCACCCGAGCAGATCCTGTACCGACACCGGCAGCCAGCAGACAAGCTCCACTGCGATCAGAGATGCGCAGAGCTGCCGCTGAGGACAACCAGGTGGAAAACATCGGTTTCCATCCGAGAGCTTCCCAAGCTGTATTAAGGTTGTCACGGTGTGAAAATTTAACCTCACGGTTATTGTGACCAAAATTACCACGGTTTTCGGTATTATCGCGGTAATTTTTTTTAAACGTGCTAGATTTTCACACAATTAAATAAACCCTGTATGTCAGGAAATGTTGTCCTCAGTTTGTGTCTAAATTTAGCCTAAAATGTGTTATTTTGTAATTATGTTGTTTATTTGTTTACATCTTTCCTCTTTAGTCTTTAAAATAGCAATATTTGCCCATAACTTCTTATTTTATGTCTGTTTGATGTCATCATTTTAAAAATATTAGATCAGATGATTCTCAGTACTCAAGTAGCCTTCTAATCGATACTTTTTTACCCTTGAGTAATAAACCGTATATCAGGAAAATATTGTCCTCGATTTGTGTCCTTCCAGTGAGCTTTGCAGA